GGAAAGAGCTTACTACATATAACAGAACAAAATGCCAAATCTGTGCATTTAAAGGAGAGTACAATTTAGGATATATGTGAGTGGAGAAGAGAATGAAATCATTTGAACTAACAGAGACATGCAGGACCCTATCCTTGTATTTCATATGGACCCATTTGAGGTTCTTGTTAGTCTTCAGGTTGTTAGAGAGTGCTTGCTAAGTTTGTTTATGGACTGAACTTGTTTAAAAAGAGAAGTTCTGTAATAGTTGTTTTTTTCAATTGTATGATAGTTTGAAACATTGTGATGTGGAGAACGGTAAGTTTTAACCACTGGGACCAGCCAGTGGTTAAAGTGCTTCTAGAATTTTATTATAGAAACATCAAAGGAAAGCAAAGGACAAGGCCCTGTTTCTGCAAACATTACCAAGATATCTATTGATTTAACCTGGTTGAAATCAATGGCAAAACTCCCGTTCAATTCAGTAGGGTCAGGATTCACCCCTAGTCCTTAGGAAAGTGGGAATTAAGCCCTTTTTCCTAGCAATTTTCTTTGTGGTTGCCATATACAGAGGTTGCATTCCCTTCCTCTCCCCCTAAGTCTTTTGTCCCAGGATCCTACAGACATTCACACCTATTGTCCTGATTCAAGTACCTGTGAATTATGCCTGATAAAATGTGCTAACAGTTTTCCCCTGGGGCACTGCTGTGTACATCTGTAAGTTAATTGCAGCTCATTTAACTTAATTGCTGTTCATTCTAGGGAGGAGCCTATCAGGCTCTGTGTTCTCCCTGGCCACCTACTGGCACAGGAGCAGCAATGTGGCTTTTAAAAGCTACCATATTTACTCAAATAGAAGATGACCCTGATTATAAGATGACCCCCCAATAATTAGATTCTAAATATGGAAAAATTATAAATTTGCTATAATTTTCCAGGTATATAATTTAACTATTGGAGGTTTGCCTGGAATTTTTCCCCTTCCCACTGCTAGGGAAAATAAGTCTGAGGGGTCAGGTAGCAGTTTGCTTTCTCCTTCCCCACAACATTTTCCCCTGGCAGCTCCTTCCCCCTCTCCTTACTGTCAGACCCTGCTCTCCCTGAGCAAATGGAAGTGAGAAGCAAATTTGAAAACAATAACCTTTAAATTAAACATGGCTGTAGCAATTTATGTATAGTACCCATCCACTTAGTTTATCCAGAATTGATGCATGTTACCTATTTTTTTTTAATTGCTGCAAGCTTTAGCACAGGTACTCCATAAACACACTTTTGAGTAGCATTTTAGCAACTACTTATATATATTAAAGACTATGCATTATATTAGTCCCAAGCTAAAGGCTCATGATTTACCACATATTTCATTGGGTTGGACCCCACCAGAGTCAACAGCATTTCAAGCCTCAGCGACCCCAAAGCTCAGCATTGTTCAGTGGACATACCTACATGTGCTATTACTGTACATGAATAAACTCCAGAGCTTTGGAGTTTATTGCTCCCAGGAATGCTGTTTGAACATGCACCCAGGAGCAATTAACTCCAGAGCAATAAGCTCCAGAGTTTATTCATGTGCAGCATGAGGAGTGGGATCAGAGCAGCCCTGACTGTCATGGGGCCCCTGCTTCCCCCACCTCAATATGCCGCAGAGGGGCTGGCTGGGGCACAATAGAGCTTCAGTGCAGAGCTAGCTGGCAAGCAGCCCACACTCTGAAGCACCTTCATGCGCCAGCCAGCCCCTCCAGTATCTGCACATGCACTGCTGCAGAGTTTTTTTACTCTGCAGCAAGATAGCATTTGTATTTACAAATACTATCCTGCGGCAGAGCAAATTATTTTACCCAGCCTAATAGGTGTTCACATATAGACGCTGAGATGTTTACTGTGCAGCTGATCAGTCAACTGTCCAGTAAATGTCTTATGTAGATGCACCCAGTATGTGTTTTTACTCCAGAAACCTCCAACAAAGAACCCATTTGCATATTAACCCACAGTCCTGATTGGAACCAAATTTTCTTCAAAAATTTATGAGAATGAGGTACAGGGCAACCTGGTCTGGCTGCACCTCTTGGAAGGTGGGGCCATACTAATCATATGTGCCAGGCTGAAAGAGGGGGTGACAGAGGGATTCTGGGTGAACTGTATGCAATGTTGTGGCTCACCATGACTTGAAAACAAGTCAACGGTGAGGGGGACTACGCTTAATGGACACTGCCATGGGCATTTATACACATTTTTCTGTCCCAGTATGTGCTGGAGATCTGCTGCTTTGAAGCAGACTCAATTAATCAAGCCTTCTCTGCACGCGAGCTAAAGTGAACTCTGCTGTGTTTTAGTTCAAAAGCGTGTCACAGCCATTTTCTCAGCGCTGGCACACATTTATACAGCTGCAAGTGTTGCAGCGCCAGGTGCTTTTCAAAGTGCCTGGCACTGTGGTGCTTGAAGATGTAAAAATACCCCATGTGTCCTATTCAGATGGTCTATACTAATCTATTCTTGTGGTAGGTGCCTATCATCATGTTTGTCCAATGTGGGCCATGTGTTTTATAGTCATGGACAGTGTTGGCTGCATTTAATCAGCTTCATACTTGGTTTCTATTACTGAGGACATGCTGCTTTTGGCACCAGGTTTAATGAGAGTATATTTAGTGAGATTTCCTTGTATGTGATTATAAAATGAGGGGCATTTTTCCCTATGCCAATTGTGGGTGGGAAGGGACTTCATCTTGTATTTGAATAAATACATATCTGTGTAAAGGGCTGTAC